GCCCCGGCCCCGCCCCGCCCCGCGCGCCGCCCCCACCGCCGGTGGCCGAGCCCGCGTCCTGCCGCCCAGCTGCGCTTCTCCCTTTGGTTTTCCTCCCCCGACTTTGGTTTTCTGAGCCTGGGTCCCACAGTGTGGCCTTGGGCTCGCAGAGATCCTCCTGCTTCAGCCTCCCGGGGCTTGGCCCAGGCCTGCGCCACCGCGCCCGTCCTGAGCTTTCTCTTTTAAAATCAGGAGAGGAGGCTGCCCTGTACCCCTGACCTCTGCCTGGCTCCCTCGCCCCCTTTTTCTTCTCAATGTGGCCCAGCCCTGGCTGGCCGCTGAAGGACACTCGTCTCTCGCCTTCCTGCCGCATCTGCCTGGCCGCGTCGTGCTCCTTTCCCATTCCTGGGTTCCCTGCGGGCCCGGGTGCCTGAGCTTTCTGGGGAGACCAAGTCGCCAGGCTTCCCGTGTGCCTGCTTTCTCTGTGGCCCTTGGGACTGAACCTAGGGCCTCAGGTGGAGCCCAGCCAGGCTCTTTTAATTGTTATTTTATTTTGTTTCACTTTGACACAGGGCCACACTCAGTCACTAAGCAGCCGGCTGGGCTGCTCCTGAGATCCCCCTGCCTCAGTCTCCCAGAGCACTGGGACTCCCGGGCACCAGAGTGTATCCCACCGACCTTGGTGGATTTGATTCACAGATAGAAACAGGAGAAACCCACGAAGGCCCGGCGGAATATGGAGCGGAGCAGCCGCCAGGGCGGAAGATCTGCAGACTCAGGATGGGCAGCATGACTTTGTGTCCCCGCCAGACCCCACAGCAGATGTGGGCTCACAGAAGGGAGAATGGCCACAGTCCTCTATGTACACCTTGGTCACGGCCAGGCTGGCGCTTTGGCCAGGCATCCCATCACTGGACGCTGTCACCAGGCCCTGCACATCCTGCCTGGCCCATGGGGGCAGGGAGGAGGACAGCAAGCCCGGCAGTCACCAAGCATGGCCTCCTGATCCATGTCTTTGCTTCCCAGGGTGCAGTGGCATCTGCCCTGGCTGCTAGGTCCCTGTTGGGGTCTGTGTCCCCTCTAAGGATGGGGTACAGGTGTCCTCAGCCCAATGTACTGGCCTACTCCTATACACCCAACACTCCACAGGGCTGAGGCAGGAAGATCCGAGGTTCACGTCTAGCCTGGGCAACTTGGGGGCTTAGATCCTGTCCCAAAATAAAAAATAAGACAGGCAGGTTTAGTCCCCAGTACCAAAGAAAAAAGAAGGAAAGAACACAGCGGGCCCTCGCAGGCCAAATCCGAGTCATGCGCACGTCCTTGCAGTGGGGAGTGTCACCCCAAGGCAGGCGCCGGCCCCCGAGCCGCACCGTGCACCTCATAGCTCGGACATTTACTGTGGACCCAGTTCTAGGTGAGTGGCGACACCGGGCCAGCACTCCATGTCATGTTGGATGCAGCAGGCAGGTGCCTCGGCCACAGCATCAGGAGGTCACAGCCTGTGGCCCCCAAGTCCAGCAAGGCTCCTATCAGACGGGCCAGGGAGCGGGAGCACCGGCACCAGGTCCTGCTGTACTGGACTGACCGTGTCACTGGCTCCGCTGAGGTCGGGCACAGGAAGAGACGCCACTCCAGGACAGGCGGTGACCTCAGCGGGCACCCAGGGCCTGGGCTGTGGGACCTTCAGGCCACACAGCAGCTAGCACAGTGACCACACACCTCCAAGCTGCCTCCCCTGCCCTGGGGCCATTATTTACATTATCTTTCTTCTTTTTTTTGTTTTATTACTTTAGGTAATTTGTTTATAGTGCCCCATTATCTTAGGTTATAAGAACTTTGTTATATAAAAACTATCAAAAGAGAATGCTGGCAAAGTCGAGGCCAGGAGCTGGGCTGAGCGGCCAGGAGCTCACGCGGCCGGCAGCGGGCGGCGTCACACCAGCCGGGACAGAGTGGCTCCTCCTTCACAGAGCCACAGTCAGCGCCAGAAACGAGCGCGTGGGCAGCGATCTCCCTCCACGCCAGCAGCCCTGAACCTGGGCCCGTGGCCTAGCGGCGCCTTAGCAATGGGGTGCAGGTGGGAGCAGGGGTTCAGAATTGCCTCAGAAACGTCTGCGCGCGGTATGGTGTCGTTGGAGCCAAAATCCTTCCAAGTCCAGTCCGTTAGCGAACTCTTGTTCACTGGGTCACTGCGCTCGTTTCCTCTAATTTTTTCGTACAGTCTTTGCTTGACTGGACACCATATCGACAGCTTCCGCGGGCAGGCCAACATAAACTCCGCCATAGTTTCTCCTCTTGTCATCTTCCCTTATGGATTCTTCTGTCGCATCTTTCGCTGCTCCTGCAGCGCCTCGGCCCGCGCCCGCGCCCGCCGCCCATCCCCGCG